CTCTCTCCCTTCCTCTTCCCCCCTCTCTCTCCCTCACCATCAGGCTTGGTTGGTTGCATATACATGCGCCACACTGACACGGCCAATCGCAATTTGCGACGATCGACGAAAGTTAGTCCCATGGTGCGGGGAGGGGGATTTCTATGCAAATAACATTACGACATCTCCGGATGCTCCCCGGGTTTTCCGATCCCGAGGCTTAAATTTCGCTGGAGCGAGTTTCCTTTCCCTCTCCAAACGCCGAAAGACAGACGCAAAGATCCCCCCCTCCCCAGGAAAAATCACTTGAACGAAAGAAGTTAGTAACAGCCATCGAAGGATTTCGAAGGCGCGATAATTGAAAACACGGGAGGAAATAATATCGTTCCGCACGTCAGACGCTGTTCCGCGTCGAAACACCTTCTTTCGAACTATTAACTCCAGTTTTACCCGTCACGTGAGATATCGACCTCTTTTCTCTGAAATATTTTATTAATTTTTATCAACGTCAATATTTCCTCCTTTCCACTTACAATTAGCAGACAAATACAATTGTCGCAAAAAACATCGCGAGCCAGCCTGGAGGGCAATGTCAGGTAAACAAAAGTAACACATTGAGGTTCGAGAAGCGTAACGAGAGATGCATACACGGCGTTGAATTTCCCTACGCGCTGGAAAAGCCAGCGGAAAAGCCCGGACACACACACACACACACAATGTAATGAGCGCGCGCGATCCCGCGGGATGCGTTTCGCGAGGATGCGTAACGACGAGAGAGAGAGGTTTTCCCGCTTTTCCGCGGCCAAATTCATTGTACCTTGTAAAACGAAAATCCCGAAAATAAAGAGGGCTAAACGGCATCGAATCTACACGCATTTGTCCCTGCAAAAATCTGCCGGGGTCCCTCCGCTCTTCTTCGGTTTCGCTGCCGATTACACGTCGGAGGTGTGCCTCGTCGCCGACGCTATTTCCATCGGCTCGAGTTTCTCGCGTAATCGCGAGACACGCTAATTATAAGGGCAACCCCCCGAGAGACTCGTCCTGGCTGAGGTCGGAGAATTTTACGCGCCCACGAGGACGAGAGAATTGTTCGGGGGAGAAATCAGAATACAGCTGGGACAACGCGAGAATAAAAACAAGTCGCAGGTAATGCTCGCGCGCATTTCGGTATTTACATGAAACGCACTAAAGGAGAAAATCGAGTAAAAGAAAAACACAAGCAAACACGCCGGGGTTGCGCGAATTCGGGGTCAAATGGAGGGAAAATCGTGTCGGATTCGACAATTTCACGCAGGAATTTCGATCGCAGAATTTAATCAGTGGTAAAAGCATATCGAGATCGGAAAATGTAGCTATTGTGTATATGGTTTTCGATAGTTAAAAACACATGTTTTTTCAACCAACAAAAAAGTTAGTCTAACTGGATAATACTAGTAATTTTATCTCCGCCGGACGCTGGTTCGGTAAATCAGACCATAATTACGAGCAATAACGTGGTTTGGCTCAGCTTCGTGATCTACCTAATCGAATTAAATTTTTCAGCTCGTTTTACGCAAACAAGGGACCGAAAAAAAAAAACAGGAAAATTTCGCGGGACAGAAATCAGGGGGCGGTTGCTTGCAAGACCCGAAATTAGGTTTGTTTAACTCGATTTCAATCTCCTCCAATCTCTCTCTAGTGTAATAACTACATGAGAAGTGCTCGACAAATTAATAATATAATGATAATGATAATAATTGGAAGCGCGACAGAGTGAATTCGCGCGCGGTACATCAACGAATTATTCCGACGACGCTTGCCGACGCGAACCGTTGACATAAATTTCATGGAAATCCGCCACGGTAGTAAATACTCCACCACCCCGGCGGCGTCGCCGGTGTGTGGTTTCACCAGGGAGCGATTAAAAAAGGAAAAGGGGTAAAATTAATTCCCTGCCTCTCTCGCGAGAGTGGCTCCGAAGCGCGCTCGACATCGTCTCGCGTCGTCAGTCGTCCCTCTCGACACCGTCCTGTACATCAATTAAGTAACGAATATATGGCGGTGATATCGGGCCGCGTGCGACTTCGCTCGCGTAATATACACCGTAATTTCGTTTGGTTTGCCGACCGTTCGAGCGCGTGTTTGGCCGCGCGCGTGCTGTGGCCAAGGGCGTCGCCGGCGACGGAGAGGATGCCGGATCCTCCGCTGCCTAAACCGAATTCCGCCGTATTCCCCGAGAAATTGCGAAGTCCGCATCGTTTTCCCCGTGATTGTCTTTTATATCCTCTTCCTCCCCCTCTTCCGAGCCCCTTCCGGGGTGCCTCGTAAATTGATATTTACAATGACGCGCGCGAAAATGATTTCCCGTGTCGCGGAAAGAAAGTGGAAAATTCGAGGGGTGACGCACAACGAGTTTTCGACGAGTTTCACGTCGCGGTAATTTTTGTGCCTCTCTCTCTCCCTCTCTGTGTGTATTGTTCCGGTGCAAATACGCTCGGCACAAGGTGATTCGCGCGGGTGATAAAAGAAAAGTCCGGGGGAGTTCGGAGGATAAACGAAGGAAAAGCGTCCGCGAACGCGATACAGAATCAATCCCGGCGAGAAAGATCAAAAGGTGAGAGCGCGGCAGTTCATTCGGAGGACGATCGTTTTATTGCGCAGTGAAACGCGAATTTCTACCGGCGCCTATGATAGGTGTGCTGAAACGCGCCGGGCCGAGAAAAAGAGGACGTTCTCTTTCTCTCCCTCTTTCTCTCTCTCTCTCTTTCTTGCTTTCTTTCTTTCTTTCTCTCTCCGGCTGTTTTGCGATCGCTGTAAAGATTTTTTGCTTCGATCTATCGCTCGCGCTACGGCGCTCAAGCTGTCGACGCCGGGCGTCACGGCGGTTTTAACGCGCGCGTTAAAGCCGGTTTCGCGCGAGAACGCACGCTGAAACGCATATAATAAATATCGTAGCGCCCACTTTACGAACATCAAACGTATTGTGTCTGTACGTGGAGCGGATATTCAGATGTTATATTTAAGATCGTCTCAAGTTCATTTTTAGACACTGTACTGAACAATTCCATTGGCCACGAAGCATCCGAAGACGATCTTAAATATGTAAGATCTATTAAAAAATTATTACGTTTAAAATTATCTATAAATCTATAAATATATCTATAGATAAATTGTAATGTAATTAAAAAAAAAAATTATATAAATTGTGCATAGATCGTCCGATAAAAGAATTTCCATCTCTGGACATGCGGATCTCCGCTTATCCTTTTCCGTAACTCTCACATCTACGTTCCTTTCAAAATCAACATAAATTTCATAACGCGAGAAGAATTATAAAGGAAAGAGGGAAAGAGAGAGAGAGTTCCGTTTCTGAAGATGCAAATTACACTTGAATTCCCTGGGAAATATAATGACGGAAGTAGCATTGCGTTTCTTTCATTTCGCGCACTCCGAAGGATAGACTTTCTCGACGACAGCGACTCGAGACGAGTTGAATACGAAGGTAACGGCCACCACGACCGCTCCGAATGCATATTGCGTGTTACAAACTCCCGAACGCTCGAATCGCGCGGTTAAAATTGCGGGGCGGTTTTACGCGCGCAATAAATGTCGCCTCCCTGAACCCTCCTCGGTAATCACCGAGTTGTACAGGACGTTCCGAGAAAGTTATACATGCGCACGCGTGAGTACACAGCGGCAGAATTTTAACGCACCGCTAATCGACCGAAACTTCGGTAACGCGTTTTCGACACGTGTGGTATCGATCTGACCCGCGCGCGCGCGCGTTAACTATTGCGTTGCATAACAATTTCCGCAACTATGTTACCGTCGAGGCTGCGCGAACTTTTCTTCGCAAAAACCTCACGATTAACCCACCTAATTGTCTATTCTCAGTGTAGTCAAAAGAACCGAGGTAGTGTAAGTGAATTAGCCGATCACAGATCCAGAACTTCGATATGATAATAATTCCACGACAAGCCTGCCATAAATTTTCACGGTAGTCTTCAAATGTGATCGGCCGATTCGCTTATTGTTCAAGTTTCGCCGTGAGCGATGAAACGACAAATTCCAAGTATTCGTAAGACAAAAACCCGAGTCAAAATTTCAGTTTCACGTTAAGTCTAGTTAATTCTACATTGAGTCTTCAAGTTGAGGGGGAAGGGGGGAGTAACAACTTCTCATTTGTAGCATCAAAAGAGCATAATAGGAGACCTCTAAAGATTCTCTCTTAGCGATAAAAGTGTTTTAAATGTGGCTTCTCAATCAATCAGTTCCTATGACATCTAAGCCACTTTTATGCAGGCAATTTTATCAATAAGAGAGAGTTCAAAATATAGGCCGTAGAACTGACTAGACTTAAGCCTGCATTCAGAACTCCCTCTTATTAATAAAAGTGTCTTAAAATATGGCTTCTCAGCCAATCAGGTGTTTCCTGAGCCACTTTTAGAGGCAATTTTATCGATAAAAAGGAATTCGAAATACGGACCTTAATGTAGAATTAAAATTTCAACCTGGAAATATAATATACTTTTTTTTACATATCTTTACTTTTCTTTATATATATATTTTTTTACTGTTCTTTTTTCTTTTCTTACTTTTGCGCGTTGTACCAAAAGACGAAAGAGAAAGAGAGGGGATTCGCGTCAATGAATAAATAAATAAAAGTCGACGTCGTTTCGCGAATTCAAATTTCTCGAATTTGGCGGGTGATGTACCGACCTCCCCGCCCCGCGTCTTTCCCTAATCGAAAGTAGGACTCATCGAGAGATTACGGTGCGATAGCGACCGTCCCTTTTTAGCCCTTGTTTACTTAGCAGTCAGCGTGCGAACTTAATAATTGCTTTCGACACGTGCCGTAAACTTTCTCTCTTTCCCTTCCTCATCACTGTCAACTACGATGATAAAAGAGTATATCCCCGCGAATGTATTATCTGGCCGTTACTCGGACGGTCTCTCGATTGCCTAAAAACCACCTGGGCTCGACGCGCCGCGACGCAACGACAACGCAACATACATACTCGTGAGAGTGAGAGGGGACTCACCTTCTCTCGCTTTCAGGTACACGGTGTTCGCTACGATGTTCTCCAACTCCATCAATTCCAGCTTGATCGGATTTGCGCGGCCGAATCGGATGGGAGAAGAGGCCTCGTGGTCGACGACGTGGTCGTGCGGGCGCGAATGCGATGAGTTCGCGCTCGATCGCGAGTAATTGATGCTGTCTCCTCTGTAGTTGCTGCTGTTGCACGGGGTTGATCACCCTGCCGGGTCCTGACAGACCAGCTCCCATCTGCGGCCCTGGGACACCACCGCCAGGGACGATCGGTCCCCGCCGCGCGAGGACCACGTGCGAGAGAACCGGCGAGCGTGTCTCTCTCTCTCTCTCTCTCTTTCCCGATGTAGATCCGATCTCAATTCGAATGCGAACCGAAACGAGATTCAGTCCGAGCGCCTAGATTGATCAGAAATCTACAACGACGACGACGGCGATGTCGCAATTCAGGATTCACGATCACTCGCGGCCGCTCCGAGAAGTTCGCGACGACGACGACGACGCTCGACTCATTTGGCAACCCGATTCCCGAGAGAACGCTTCTCGACGACGACGAAGAAGGATCACGGTGTGTCTTCGCCTCGGCCGCTTGGAAGGAGACGTGGTGATTATTATCGAACAACGGCACCTGCAGCACCTCGAGCAAGTTCCACGCGAGCGCAAGGATGTTGACTGGCGCACGTATCTCTCTCTCTCTCTCTCTCTCTCTTCGTGTCTTCGCGCTTTCCGCAGCTGGCTGAATAATTTCCAGGCCGTTTCCGCTAGCAATTAGGTTAATTAACGGTAGCTTAGGTGGCTTAGGTTGTATATCGTGGAAGGCGACGTTGCTGAGCTTCGATCGCGAAGCAAATGGCGACGGGGGGTCGGTAAATCAACTTGAGGCTTGTTGCCGATCACCGACAGCAAGTTGGATCCCCCGTGTTTTAATCAGTCGAACAAATATTTTATCAGTCTAGAATCTCTTCTATCTTAGTAGGCGATGACAGGTCACCGAAGTAGCGTCCGAAGTGGAGCAGGCGCGCGCGCGTACTCCCGTTACCATCAATGGAAGAAGCTGTGTCACCGTTCGCAGATCGGCCGAGCTGATCCACCGGGGCGAGTGCGATCTGCGTCGGAGTGTCGGGATCAAATCTCTCCTTCTCTCTCTCTCTCTCTCTCTTTCTCTATCTTTCCCTTTTAGGCTCTCTTAGGATCGTCCGCGTCGCTCCGCGAAGACGGCGGTCGCGTTATCGATCGCACAATCGGCACTCGTCGGCGGCGGATTCCGCGCGATCATCCTCGCGGTCGAGCCGCGATTGACTACGATCGGCCGCACTGGTCTATCCCCGCGCACGCTCGTCGACTCCTCCTCAATCGTGCATTCCATCAATTCCACCAGCGACGACCAACGATCGGGGCGTCTCGCGGGCATCGACAGGCGAGTATGTCTCTCTCTCTCTCTCTCTGTCTTCCTTTCCCTCTCAAACGCGCCAACACGCAGTCGTTTAGGCAGAATTTCTCCTCTGTCTCTATTTATAATACAGCCGGCATACACAACACAGCGAAGATGCAGCGGCGACGGGAGCAACCGGGCCGAGAGATTGCCGGGACGACTCTTGGCGCAGCAACTCGCGCTCTCGGCGAAACGTCGCGACCAGACGCGACAGACACGAGGAGATTATCCCTCGTAAAGAGCGTGTACCGCTTATATATATATATATATATATATATCTATATATCTATATACAGCAGTATGTTATATATCGAGGCTTTAATGGACGACGGAAAACTCCGGTGAAAAGAGAGAGAGAGAGAGAGAGAAAGTGAGTGAGTGCGGAGGGAAGGAGGGAAGAAGAAAGAGAGAGGGAGAGAAAGAGAGAGAGAGAGAGTGACTGCGTGTTGCGGATCCCCGATAAATCGATAAACGTGTAAAGCTGTCGGTCGGATCCCGCGGGCGGATTTTTCTTCTCCCGGTCTGTGGCCTATAGCGCGGAAAATATCACGCGGTTCCGCGATGCGCTCCCTCGGCGCCTTTCACTTTGACGCTTCGCCGCTGGGAGACGGCCGATTACGCGCGTGTGCCGGCGCGCTGACGAATGAACCCTCGCCGAAACTCGCGAGATTCGAGGCGCGGACCAATTGCTCGGGAATGCCGCTGATCTCGCGTGCGTGCGTACGACGCACTCAGTCGTACGATCTTCTCTTCCGCGGCGGTTCTTCGGCTTTCGCTTCTTCTCCTTCTTACGATGCGCTCGCAGGGTGAATGACACTCGCTCGGAGCAGATTCCTAATGGCTCTCTTCGCGCATTTCATTTCTTCGCGGCCTCTCTCTCTCTCTCTCTCTCTCTCTCTCTCACTCACTCTCTCTCCCTCTCCGCTCCTTCGTTCCTCTTCGTCCTCCACCGACTTCACCGGCGCGTCCACGTCGCTCGTACGCACCGTCCCGCAGCTTCGTACCCGTGCATGCGCATCCTGCGAACAATAATAAGGAGCCCCATTTTTATTCAGGCCAGGACGAGTCTCGAGAAGTGGAGCGGTGAGGAAGCGAGAACGGCGTGGGTTTCCTCTCCCGGCCTCGAAGCGATCGAAAACTCGAGCGTTCCTCGTCGCGCTTCGCGAGTTTGCGCATCGACGAAATCTCATTCACCCTCCCCCTAAGCGGAATATTTCCATTTAACGCACGCCGTTAAATAATCGGGAACACCTCGGAAAAGGAAGGGAAATATTTGGGAGGAGACACGCGCTACACACTTTCCTTCGCCGGTTTGAATTAATTGTGAAAAGTTAACGAGGATCGTGTGCAAACAATCCGGAGCCGAGTGCGCGGTTGATAACGGTCGCTCTCGAAAATGCAAGCTTCGAAAGTGTGTAAATCCGGACGATACGTCGCGCGAGAGCGCCGGTGCGTGCGTGAGTGCGCGGGACGCGCACTTGTCGCCGCGTATCGTCGTATGTCACCGACGCACATGTGTGCGTAGAACACGCGTGAATGGCGATGCATCGGACAGGTGCATCGGTGAGGGAGAGCGGGGGTAGGTGGAGGGGATGGAAAACGCGGTGAGCGGGGGGAGGATCCGCGAATGAAGATAATGACGCGACTAACCGCGCTGCGTCGACGCGATAGCCCACGGTAATCTAATAAGCTTTCGCGGCCGGAACGCGCATTTCCACGCATTCGTGTCCGCCAGGGCTTTTAACGCGATCCCACAGCGGGGACATAAATTCCGGATGGTTGCGGAAACGCGACATTAGAAGCGGATTAGATGGTGCTCGCTGCTCCGTACGAATTGAACTCGCGCGTCCCGACCTTCCGGCCGATTTTATCCGCGGCCCTCCGAGGTCGCGCCTTCTCTTAATTCACCCGATATCGCGGCGATATCGCGGAAAGCCGGCGCGACCGATCCGCCCGGTCTGGAAATGATCGGACGTTCGTGAGAATCCGACACGCTCCCGAAATTAAAAAGCACCTAAAGGCTCGCATTAATAGTCGTTACTTGAAACTCTCGTAAGACGCTTCGATCGGAATTCGATCCGACAGTTAGAGTCTCTCGGTTGGATCTCGTGTATCGTGTGATATTATATTTGTAATCGGCAGTTCGACCAAGAAACTCGCGTTAAACTCTAAATTCCAATCTGAGTATCTCACTTAAGACAAGTCTCGAGTGACTGCACCGGGAGGAGAAAAGTGTTAGATTCAAGTAAAGATTTGTGAAGGAGTGTTAGAGTAATTGTTTTACTTGGATTAAGCAAATCCATCATCTCACGAGAGAAAAGCTTTCGGTAATAATTATTAATATGCGTCTCCGACGGATTTGAATTTTTTTCCTTCAACTGAATTTTACGACATGTGATCGAATTATACGATTTGTAATCGGTTCAATTAAAAGAATCACATCTAACTCTCAAGTCAAATCTGTGTATCTTCTTATTAATTAATATTAGCCACGAATACTCGCGAAGTTCTGGCAAGATGAGCGAGCAAGCTGCGAATTGTTCGAGATTAAAGATCGCCCCCCGTTCGTCTCACAATCGATCGGAATTTATCAATTGTAATACGCATCGTATCGTTTGTACGACAGACAGTCATCCTACCGTACACTCGGAGGAAAAAGCGTTTGGTATTCACGACTGTAATTGCATAGTGAAATGATTATAGTCGGGAGAACCATTTTTATAGCACGTGCTGCTACTATCACGTTAGCGATAATAACCTCACACGCATATTAACCACTGCGCTGCTGCACTTTTTTCATCGGAGCAGCAAAAAACACACGGTTGGCGCCAAAAATGACTTATAATTCCAGCGAGATCAGTCATTCTCTTTTCTCTCGGTGCGCAAGGCGAGCAAATTTACACGATTTATCACATCGTGCGCCGGTTTAACAAACCGATTCGATTCACAGTGCAACAAACATCGCCACGCGTCGTTATTTAGATTTATATTTTTTCAAATGACGTCGCGCGCGAACTTTATCGTAAACCACGCGTCTCGAAATTTAAATAACACGCATATATACATACACACACACATACACACACGCTCGCGCACTAAATGTTTTTGGCGCGGTGCACTTCACCACCACTGCGACGAGCACGCAAATGTCGCGAACAGAGCCGTTTCCGAGGATATGTAATTGGCGAAATAATTTTTCAATGGCGACGAGGGTGCCGCTGAAGAGCCACTTATAAATGCAACATTCCCGATATACGCTCCGGAATGCGACGCCTGTTTTCGTGCCATTGTTCGCGACACGCGATACGCGACTGTAAATTGACGACACGATGCGGCAATGTGTCGGGCGTGTCTGGATTCCCGAGCGCGCTGAAATAGTATTTCGCAATTAATTGCGTGATCGTGCGCGCGCGCGTTCTCTTTCGGAACTCCTCGCGCGCCCATGCCCGCAAAGCCGTTAGTTTCTCGCGCTTAATTGCTTCTCCAAACGTAATTCCATTTAATCGCTAATATCTGCCCCTTCGTTCAACACGAATTGTACGCGCGGTCTCTCCTCCCGCCATCGATATTTCTTTTTTAACTTCCCCTTTCCCCAGTCGAAATCGATTCCGGCCACATCCGACCGCAATTGCGTGAATTTTATTAATAAGGCCGAGCCAAGAAACAAGGAGGGAGAAAAAGAGAGAGAGAGAAGGAGAGTGCCGCCCTCGCAATTGCGCGCGGTTGCGCCAGCTCGTGACTCGACCGCGCGCTTCCGTGCTGAAATCGCGACGGAATACGCGTACACGCAGGACGATAAATCAATTCGAACATCGCGACGATCTCGAGCGAGCGAGCGAGCGCGCGCGCAAACGCGATAAAACGATTCCGGTGCGAAAAATAGGAATGAGTGAGCGAGAGGGGGGGAGAGAGAGAGAGGCAGAGAGAGAAAAAAACAAGTCATCACCGTCGCTGTCTAGCCTTTGAAATCTCGAGAGCACGGGCTGAAACCGAGAACCAAGCGAATCGCTTCGCTCTCTCTCTCTCTCTCTCACTTAGGATTTCTCTGCGCACTGGTTTTCCGCGATACACGTACACACGGCGAAATAGAAATTGCCAATAACGGCGCGACGGAACAATGCGCGCCAACGTTGATATGCATTAAACGCGTCCGCGGTGTGTCAATCAGTAATGCAGTTTATGCGTGACTGACAGTATCATAGACGGCATGCACAACGCGAGCCCGTGTCTCTCTTTTTCTCTCTGTCTCTCTCTCTGCTGTATGTCGATAGTGCGCGATACGCGTATTACGTACAAATATGCGTTGCGTACGCGTGTGGATGTCGTGTACAGGCGCGTGTGCGGGTGCATGGAGGGGAGAGAGAGAGAGAGAAAGAGAGAGAGGAGAGAGAGAGAGACGAGAAGTCCAAGGGGGATGGAAAAGCCAATTCCGTCGTATCAGCGCAAATGGCTATTGGCCGACAGGAAGGAACGCCGTGCGCTCCGCAGAAGACGATAATAATAAACGTTTACGATCGGTGAGCGTCAAATTGGAGCGCGGGCCGAGAGAGGCTTTTACAATCGGCCCTTACACTGCACGATGTTTCAATATCCGACACCCTTCCCTCTCCCTATCCTCCGCCAACCTTTGCACCCCGGGGGTTATGGATCACCTTGGCTCTCATTGTTCAAAACTCGACCGGTAATAATTTGTTAACTCGGCGCGCGAGCGGGAACGAGAGAGAGAGAGAGAGAGAGAGAGGGGGGAGAGCTTTCCCTTGAATTTTCAGCGGGGATTTCGGAGAGCGAGAGATAAATCACCGGTCTCTCCCGGGTCTCTGGAGATTGATTAGGGTGAAACTTGCAATCGCACGGCGTTCTGTACGTATGCGAGATGAGACAGGTGCAATTTGAAGAAAAAGGGGGGGGGGGCAAAAAGAGGAAAGAAGAGAGAGAGGAAGGGAGAGATAAATCGCCATCGCCTTAAGATCTTGTAGCGTTTTAGAGAGAAAAGGAGAAAGAAAAAGGGAGAAACGGAGAAACGGAGAATCATTAATCATACATTCTCAGTGGAAAAGTGCGAAACGAATATCCGAACTTTCCGGCTAGGCGGAAGGAAAAGTTCCGGCTGTAGTGAAAATTTCGATCCGTCTCGACAAGAGACGAAGATACATTCACTATACAAGTGTAGACACTCGTGTAACGCCGGTGCCTTTCGATGTTAAAACACCTCTGTAAGTCGTGACAACAATACAATTACGGTTTAGCGTGCTTACGTCGTTATCGGGGGGCCGCAGAATGGGGAGACGCAAACAAGGCGCGCGGGACTGTAGGAAACATCCTAAGTAAACGCACTACGTACGGATTCAATGTAAATCATTACGCAAAGATATTAGCGCCCCGCGCGCCGTTTACATAATATAAGAGAACACAAGGCGTGTCTTGAAATAATAATAAAGCGCGACCTTGGGTAAATGTGCTATTGTCGCCGGCGGTGCGATAGCGGCGGCTTGCTTTATTTTCGGCTGACAAATACTCAAAGCGCGTAACACGAGCATTGCGAAATTTACGTTCGAGAGTCGCGCTAGACAAAAGTCGCACGCTCTGGCGACACAAGCGACAAAATACACACACGGCCGGGTAGAACGCGAGTATTGCGATATTGCGTTTTACGGTTCGCTCGTGCGTTACGTACGCAAAAATGCGATTAAATAACGACTTTTTATACACGCAACACGAACGATCTAGTTGTTTTCGCGCGACATCGAGCGAGTAGCCTATGCTTGAAAAACTTGGTCGAACTTGGGCGAGAAGCGGCCGCGATCCATCAATTGTGTCGCTGCACGATTGTGTCATTTAAATTTCTGGAAGCACAATCCCAAAATGAACGAAAATTCGATCGAAGCGACAATGCAACCGTCGCTCACATATCGCAAAATCGGGAAAAAATTCAAATGCAAATTACCAGTCTACTTTTGTTTTTCTCCTCTTCTTTTTTTTTGTTTATTCACTATGTATTGCAGTACTCGTCAATTGCCGA